CCTTTTATTGTGTGACGGTCACGTACCTCCACCGACTTGACCCTCTGCTCCTCTTGGCTCTGTTTGCGATGCTGATATCTCTCCCGTGCTTGAGTCTCCAAATCAGTATGGTATTCGCGGCTTTTTTCGTTCTTCTGTCTTCTGATATTTAAAACCTGATCGAAAGAATAACTTGGAATAAGAAGGGCAAATGTTACCATTTATACCACACCATATAAAATACACCAATCAGAATACAGGAAAGCCGTTGTACATTCGACGGTACTACATCCAACCTTCCCATCATGCGCCGCGCGTATGTCGCATTAGGGAGTTTAAGAAACCAGGACGCGACGCCGAGGACAACGTCGGTTAAAAAATGATTTTATATTTTACCTACGAATCTAGAGATACTCTAAAGTCACTTTCCTTTCTTTCTCAGTGTCAAAACTATCACGAAACTGAATCTGGGACAATGCGAAACATTTGAAATAAAAATAAAAGATTAACCGTCGTGGTTCACGTTCTACGGACAACGCAGACTTTGGTCATTTCACGTTGTTGTTTTTCAGAGGACGGCAAAGAAATGTACCAGGAATTATAACGCACGTGCATAGCCATTGTTCTGCTCATTAAACCTTTTGTTTAGCGACGTTCGTGTTGCCGTCGCCGTCATGGTTTTCTCGCTAATAAACTGATTGTGTTGGACAGTGCATTTACTATGGCATGGTATAAAATAGTAAAGGCGAGTGTGTGTATACTGAGGAAATACAAGTGACAAGTGGGATATTTCATGGTATACCACGAGAGAGCGTTACATAACTTACTGCTAAGCAACAGGCCGTTTTCATATTTTCAGGACTGGAGTGCAGCTAACTTGCAGTGGGGAGTAATGCAACAGAAATACCTTCAACAGCTTTACGTCAAGTCCTACTACCCAGTCTCCATTGCAAGGTAGGACCGATGATGATCAAGCCAGCTAGGTCCAGTTCAGTTCAGGTACAAAAATGGGCTTTTTACCCTCGTTCATAACCGATATACCTTAAGCTAAACACCACGGCAACGGCAACGAGAACGTCACCAAACAAAAGGTTTAAAAAGAAAAACAATGGCTGTGCACGTGCGTTATAATTCTTGGTACATTTTTTTACCGTCCTCTACAAAACAACAACGTGAAATGACCAAATTCTGCGTTGTCTGGAGAACGTGAACCACAACGGCTAATTTCTCGTATTTCTATTTGAAACTGAACGCATTCGTAGCATAATCAGCAGGGGCAAGTTTTAATACCAACAAACACACTGAATAGCTCCAAATAAATGCGAAATTCCAAAGTAAAACAGAAACACATTTTTTACTAGGCGTCGCCCTCGCCGTCGTATATGCGTGAGGTCCCTATTGTGATCGCCACGCAAGCTTCTTGCTGTATCTTGTCGCAAAATTTGTTATGCGCTTTCACAACCCAACTAACGGCTGTGAAGTAGATCACTTAAAAATACAACATTCTTTTACCACGTTTTGCTGTTGTTTTTTACGTTTACCTGCGATGTGACATCTGAAGTTTGTTTCTTTTGAGCAATTATCTCTTTGGTGGTGGCATCATAACTAGGCTGTCCCACAACACCTGATCGCAGCCAAGAAGCAACGTCCTTTTCACCCTGAAAACAAACGACGCATGTACAGTCAAACCTCTCCAAAACGGTCACCTTGGGGACAGGGGAAAGTGGCTGTTGTAGAGAGGTGGCCGTTATGGGGAGGTAGGGGTATAATTTGACACCTTTTTTTCGGGTGTGCAGCATTTGTTCAGTAAATGCTTATTTTAGCCGCATATATGAAACAAAGTGTCTAAATAAATCAGAAACCTAACAGAAACAGAGTCTAACAACGCGTAGTGCGGAACACGTTTTGCGACATTCTACAATAAAAAAAGAGGGTTTTATTTGCACCGTTCACCGTTCATCAGTTGGCGATCAACTGGCCGCTGCCGGGAGGTTAATTTGGTCGCTGGGACGCGCTTTAGCGGCCATTGCCGTTGTGAAGGAGGTGTCTGTTGTAGAGAGGTTAAGATAAGAGTGAATGTATGGAGCGTCAGCCGGGACCAAAAAAAGTGGCCGTTAGTGCAGGTTCGACAACAAACAGACAAGTATGAAAATACTTACAGTTAATAGATCTTCATGTTCGGCCTTCCGTCGTTGTCTGCTTTCTTCAGACATTTCCTCTGTTGAGTACAAATAAAATTATCTATGAAATGGTGTGAGCTACATAAATACAGTCAAACATCTGATCTCCTTATACAGTCTTTTATTATTATATGGCTAGCTCCGTGAGCGGGCAAGATGAACCGAATCCTGCGCTGCGATTGGCTACCCGAGCGGGCAAGATGGCGCTATCTTGCCCGCTTGGGATTACCCGGTGTATCCCGGAAGAAAATAGTGTTCTTTTTTGATATAATAAATCCTTTATTGACCAAGCTCGTGCAGCCACGATGACTGGATATTGGCCTCGCTCTTTTCTGCGTGTTGACAGACCGAGACGGAGTCGAAGTCCATAAACACGCAAAAAAAAGAACTTGGTCAATATCCAGCCATTTTAGCCTCATGCTTGGTAAATAACCCAGATTTACATTGGTTTAAACAGGCACAAACACGACCATTCACAAAGTACTTTATGGGAGAATGATGAAAAACGCTGATTCTTTTAAACGATTGTTTGCTTGTTTTGCTTTGTTTTTGTTTTGTCATGTTCTACTTAAAAACTTGGTAGAGGATTATCCGTAACGGAGATTAGCTACCCTTGTGAAAGTTGAAAACGTACGTAAAGTTGTGAGAAGTTCCTGCTTAGCTCTTACGTCTCTCTTGCCATTTGCCGAAAATGCCTAGGAAGGTAAAGATAGAGAGCGGATTAGTATCAAACTTTCTGATCCAAAATTCTTTCATCGTGTTGAACCTATTACAAAGTGAATTATTGTATTTAGAAAGACTATCGAATGACAAAAACATGAAAATAAAAATTCAAAACCAGGGAAGAGATTCAAAAAGTTCTCCCAAGTTAAGAAACTAGTAAGTACTGTTCCTTGGCAATAGGCCTTGAGAATCTGACCAGCTCTATACTTACACTTGAATCATGAGCCACTTTGCCAGCGGTACGTGTTTGAATTTGTCCTTCGGGGTCCTTTATGGGGGCTCCCGCTCCGGATCTTCCCCAGGGATCGTAAACGTCACGCTGATTGACAGGACTGAAATCACGCTGAATTGTTTCTAAAGTTGGACAGAAATCATTCAATAAAACATTTTCAAACTGTCCGGAACTCTTGAGCTTTTTGTGATTGAAAATAAGATTAGACTCAAAAATTTCTCGGGTGCTACTACGAGGATTTGCTGACTTCGGATGCAGGTTCATGAATACACAAAAATAACTTGTTCACAAGGGCATTGAATGGCAGCAAATGAATGTGGCCATTATTTGACAATTTTGCTAGATAAATTCAAGACCTTCAATATTCGACCTAATCAAAATAGACTACAAGCAGTCCCTCTTTAGCTGAGTCCATCGCGCGTGACGCGAAAGAAAACCGCGAGGAAAAAATGGCCGTGCGTATTCCCGGTCGTGTGCTCCTCGCCCCCAGGATTTCGCGCGGCAATTTTTTTCCTCGCGGTTTTCTTTCGCGTCACGCGCGACGGACTTCGAAAGACCGACTACTCGTAGTCTTTAATCAAAGCCACAGGTATGACAAAGAGAGGAACTCGAACTGTTGAATACTTACGTCCGCTTGAACTTTTCGTCAATGTTTGTCCTTTCCTTACTTTCAAGTTTCCACTTTTGTCGACATTTGGAGCCCCAGCGCCTGGTCGATTAACGTCAATACCAATGCCCTTCTGTTTAGATGACATGGTTAGCTAAGGTCCCGACCGCACCATTCCATTTTCGTATGAAAACGCATACTTTTTGATATGTTCCCGCCTATCGTCCTCAATAAAACGACCGAAAACGCTGATGAAAACGGAGGCTTTCGAAAACGGTTTCGAAAGTAGAGCCTTTTGAAAAGGCATCGTTTTGAAAACGCTCCCTTTCCAGTGTGGACAGGTGAAAACGGAGGCTTTGAAAACGGTGCCGAAGAAAGCCTCATATACTGTCGTTTCCATCAGCGTTCTCGGTAGTTTTAGCCGGAACGATAGGCAAAAACACATCAAAAAGTATGCGTTTTCAAACGAAAACGGATTAGTGTACACAGGTGAAAACAAAACGAAAACGCTAGTGTGGACGAAAATATTTTGCTTCGTTTTGGTTCATACGAAAGCGGATACTTTTAAAAACGCATTAGTGTGGTCAGGACATCATGTTTTTCCTCCCGACCACATTAATGTCACTATTGACTACATGTATGAAGTCCTGAGATTCTTCAATTCTTTCAATTTCCACACTTCTGTATGCGTGGAAAGGGTTTATAAGAATATGTTCTATACGAATATCGAGGCCGAAATTTGCGAAATTTTAAGAATATTTTTTAAGAATAAACCCGAGACTGAGATTTTGAAAAGTACAGGATGCTAAACAGGCTCAAGAACCGACCTTACCGCTCTAAAAGAGTTGAGCGTTTTCACTCTTATTTCTAAAAGGAGGTCGGCTATCACAATTTATATTATGTACTTTGTTTGGTAAGTGTCTCTTGGAAATTAGTCCGCCATCAATCACACAATCCTCTGACTAACGCACTCAGCACGTTTTTCTAAAGCGTACGCTAGTTTCCAAGTATACCACAAAATCTTAGATACGGGAAAATAAACAAGATTATCCTGACAGTACAAAGAGAACTTAAACACCACTCTCTAACTCTTGGGTTTAATTTTTGAAANGTTTCCAAGTATACCACAAAATCTTAGATACGGGAAAATAAACAAGATTATCCTGACAGTACAAAGAGAACTTAAACACCACTCTCTAACTCTTGGGTTTAATTTTTGAAAACAAAATATGAGTTTTCCTTACCAAGTCATTCTCGTCCCTATCTCGCGCAGGTTTAACCATTCGTCCTTGTCTATCAAACATTGGAGGATTTCCGTGCCCTTTACCCCAAGGATTATACTAAAAAAAGGTCAATATATCGATCAGTACAATGCATCATGACATATTTATTTTGAGAAGAGCAGGTTGTCTGAGAACCGGGGGGGGGGGAACTCCCGTGTAAAAAGGACGAGGGTGCTCGTCGTACTTCGTAGGGTTTTCAGCCTCAAAAGGTCCACAGCGGAACTTTTGGAGGAACCTTTTAGGGTATTGAGCCGAAAAAATATGACAGGAGATAATGTATTTTTTTAGAATTGGTACTTCTTAGGGGTGAAAAAAAATTCAAGCCACGCCCCCAAAACACGATCTTGGTATCTCTTAGGGTTTATTTTCAAAATGTCCGATGAGCAGCCCCGTTTTGTTATGTGGGAGTTCCCCCCCCCCGGGGAGTCTGAGACGAAACAAGCGTTTTTTCGTTACTGTATGTAAGTTACATGTCATTTAGCATGCCGGTCTAAATCATTAGGAGTGCAAAAGACAATGATTTGTTTCCAAACGTGTAAAACTAAAAACAGTTAGTGTAGTTGAAGAGTCAAAAAATACAATTAAACAACTACAGCCGGAGTTCCTCACCTGGGGTTTATCTTGATCTGAAAACAAAAAAAAAAAAGAAATAGTAACATTAGACAATCAAAATAAAAATAGTCAATGGAAATATTTCAACTTCAACTTTCGCTATTGTGCACTATTTACAGAGTTTACATTAGTTAGTACAGATTTTTGATTATAAATACAAAAAGATAACTATTGTTTTACTCTGTCCAACAGAGTAAAACTCGCCAATGGAAGTTTTCTCTCCAATTAATGGACAGTAGCATTTAACTTTATAACAGAGTATTAGACACTTACATGAGCTTGTTTCATTCAAGCCTTGATTGAAGGCTTGCGGATACCTGCGGCTCCCATGCCGAAGCTCTTCAATGTCTTTTGACAATGTTGTAGGATAACTGGCTTTTACAGTACCTATATCAGTAAATAAAAAAAAGATGTTTGCATGTATTCCTTTACTTCTGTCAACTTCATTAAGAAAGGTTTTGTGCAGCGTGTGTAGACTTGTCCACAAGTTGAGCTCAGGGCAAGAAAAATTTATACGATGCTCAAAACCCAAGGGAAGAAAAGGAGAGCAAAGTGTGTATCTGGATTAACTAAAACTGCAAAGGACTCTGAGAAAGTCTACAACCTGTATTACAGGAATTTATTGTGCACCAAGTTGGATAAAAGATTGCCTTATTTACAGTGTGTACACAGGTGTTTCTAAAACAGTTAACTAATAAAAAAATTTTTTCCTCCAATAACATTGGAAAGGACAAAATTCTATCTCAAGTAGCCGTGACTGACTCACGCCGGCCTGCATCACACTATGTAATTAACTGAAAATGAACTCATGTTTCTTGTCAGTCTCAAGTTTCCCACTCTGCTCATCCCAGTTGTCATAGCACAAAGTAACTATACACTGTCCAGACAGGCTGTCACAACTATTCCAGTGAAGGGTAGGTTTCCATGTGCCATTTTATCAGGTTAAACTTGGCTAACAGTCAATTTGTCTCTTACCCAAAAACATGACACTTAATTCCAAACGGGACCAACAAGCTACATGTATCACTATAGACAACTGGATCCCCCGTGGAAAATAATGCAGCAGTTTATTAGTACAGTACCTGAGCCTGTTTTTCTGGGTGCCCCAGCACCTTCTCTTCCAAAAGGGTCTGTATTACACTGAAAAAAAAAAGTTACCTTTAAAACAATTTGTAGGTATTTCCCAGTTATAAGCAGCTGTTTTGACCCCAAAAGTTTTTTTAAGTGCTGTGGGCAGGTTATACTGAGGATCAGGCTTTTTGCCAGATGGGTGTCCAGGCATCCTGTGGACAGCCACTTTTTAAAGAAAGCTGTTTTATTTTCCATTTGAGCAGTCCCTATAGCACATTTTGGACGCTCACTTTTCAAATCCTGGCGGAGGGACCTGCTGAGGATGAACTTCAAGAATCACCTTCAAGAAAGCCAGTCACAATGGTGATAATTAAATGAGGTTCTACAGGAATTGAATGGAAAACTTTTTTAAAATATTTATTATAATTATTATAATGGTTTATCAACTCACATGATGAATTTCCTCTTCAATGCTCTTTTCTCTTTGAAGCAGTTTTCTAGTCCTCGAACCTTCAATCATGGAATCTGAAATAACATTTAGACATAGTCATCAGCTACAAGCAGCTTCATAATTACCTGTTATAAATTCAATTTTCTTTTATCTTAAAAAATGGTTGCAACAGAAAAAAATCCTACCTAACTCCTGTTTGTATCGCTCATTTCTTCCACCATACCTCTATAAAAACAGTGAGTAGTTACAACAATCAGTTGATAACAGAAATCCATGACATCANCCATACTCACCAAAACAGGTTCCACGTTAGCTTTAGATGCATGTCTCGGAAATCTAAGCTCAGGATCAGCACGGAAACCTGCAGCAACTTTTCCTGACTCTGTTCTGTTTGGAGCACCTCCTCCACCTTGACGGCCTCCAAATGGTTGATAAGGCTTCCCATACAAAAAAAAAAAATACAAAAACTTTGTCTTGATCATAAAGGAGGAAGTAGGAACCCTGTAGTACTGTCCCCAGCTTAATAAGTTAGACATACAATGAAGCCTTAAGGCCATTTTTAGGCTTCTTAGAGATAAGCCACATACACTTCAGGAGAACTCAGACTTGGGTTATGGTTACTAGCAGCAGATTTAACACACTATATTTCAAAGTTCATTACATACCTCTTGAACAAGGTTCTTGACATTTTTTGTTCTTTTTGCGTCAGGTTTTTCATCACTACCAGACTGTGAAAAGATTTATAGTACAGAATAAGTTTTTAAGAATAAATTATATGGAAGCAATATTATTCATTGATGTTTTAACCTATGTAAGGGCACTACATTCACATAACTTAGACACTTCAGTGTTAACTTGTTCAGTTACACACAAAAACAGCTGCTAGTAAATACTCTCCAAAATAATAAATATCATCCCTAAAAAATATGACCACTCCCATGTTTATACAGCCTGAGGCAAAACTCCTAGCTGCTAAAAGTTTACTTTTTCTGACTGAGTGCACTTGTAAATTTTTTGTTTTTAGGAAGTATCCCTATACTTCTATTATGGGATGTATTTTTTGTTTTTGTTTGAAATCCCTGTCCAACCCCACCTTGAACCCCTGTAGAAATTCTGGCAGCTCCTAAGACTCACAGTACAATTAAATTAATTAGGAAAGTTAGATCATACATGTGTACTAAGGGCATCCGCAGTCAAGTGTTGATCGATACTCTTGATCGATACCCTCGAGAGACATCTTGATCAACATCCCGATCAATACTCCATCGACACTCTGTTGTCTGATCAACAGTCAGTTGATAGTCATTTGAGTGTCGACCGACTCATATGAATCAATCGAAAATTAGTCGACTCTTCACTGACTGTCGACTGATCAATGGAGTGTCAATGGAGGTGTCGATGGAGTGTCGATTGAGGGTATCAATTAACACTCGACCGTGCATGCCTTTAGTACATATGATCTGGCAAGTTGAGGGCTGCAGGACAGCAAAACCATAGATCACTGAGTCAGCAGTAAAATCCAGAGTAATACTACCTGTGTATACTTATGAATAACACTTGGCAAGGGAAACAAAGTTTCCTTTTGAAAAATTTTATTTACCACATGATGGGAACCACTGGTTATTACCTCAGATGTCTGAAATGAACAAAAGAAAAGAAAATCAGACCTACACTGTACAAAGACATTGTGGGAATGTCTGAGAAAAAAAATAGCTTAATTAGATACTTAAAAGAGAAGAAATGAAGCAAGTGGTCCGAATGGCTCACATCATAGTACTGCAAGTATAATTCAACAAGTTATTCCTACAGTCACATTCGATTACATCAAGACACATGTATTTAATTTTAATTAACATTTAACTTGTTCTTCACATTCTTTATTTGGTTAGATATACATGTACACATACACACATCAACATTAATAATATTATAGACTGATGGAAATAACGTTACTATATATTAAATAAAGTTATCGTATCGTATTGTACCACACATCCTTAGATCATTGTCATTCTTCTCACCCTCCCCCCTATACTTAAAACTTTGCCATGTGACCCACCACATGGCAAAGAGGGCAATTAAGCAATCTTATTAACCAAAACTACAAAATATTATCAACTTACAATAGGTGCCCCTCCGCCTGGTCGTCCCCAAGGGTCATAGTTCTTCAGATCTTCCAAGTCCTGAGATTTATGAAAAAATGGCAGGTTTCAAGCATATGCTTTAAATGTGTTTATAACGAAGGTAAAACATTATGTAGCGTATATTTATATGGACATCCACTTAATAACATTCAATACTGGAACCAAACTGATCAGGACTTGTCAATGATTCAAAGTCCACAAGAGGATTAATTAATAAAAAATATATCCTGAATATAGACTGAACAATACCTTTCTCTTCTCTTCTTGTTGTGCCTGTCGCATCCTTGCTTTCTCTTTCAAATGCCTTGCTAAAAATTCATCTGTTTGCAAACAAGAAAGAAAGTTAAATGCAAAGCATACACAAATTCAAAATACCACATACATATAAATATACATCATGACAAGTGATAGTACATTAAGTAAGTGTGAGTACGTTAATTAAAACCTTCATCTAAATGTCTACTGAATTAATTGAGTACAATAAAAAATATTAATTAAATGCACATTAAAATAAATAGCATTCAGTCATTAGCATGGAACACCATGTACTACAAAAAAGACTTCATCAATAAACAACAATCAAGAACACATATAAGGTCCTACCTTGTGTTGAGGCTAATTTCTTATTCTTAACTGCTTCTTTTTCCCTGAAATAAAGATTTGTAGCAACAAATTAATTGCAATTCATTAAAAAAAAATTCTGGCACAAAGGGTTTATCTGGCCTTGGCATATCCAACTCAGATCATGTGTACTAAAGGCATTCGCAGTTGAGTGTCAATCAATATCCTCGATCAGTACTCTCAATCAACACTTGATCAATACTTGGTGAACACTCCATCAACATCTTGCTGGACACTTGGTCGATAGTTGACTAATTTTCAATCGATGTGTATGAGTCAGTGGAGAGTCCCGGCCAACTATCGACCAACTGTTGATTGAGTGTCGGTTGAGTGTTGATCAAGATGTCAATTGGGTGTCAACCATGTATCGATCAGGATATTGATTGAGTGTTGATCAAGAGTCAATTGAGGGTATCGATCGACACTCGACCGCTGATGCCTTTAGCACACATGATCCTCCAACTCATTTCTTACGTTCTTTCTTCCAGCCAGATCATGTTGTTTGGACGAGGTGCTGGAGCCGGCTTTCCAACCTTAGTTGCTGCTTCAGTCCCATAAAGAAATCCAGAAGGATTATAATTTTCTTTTAACCCGGCTTGGTGAAGGAGTTCATCTGTACCATATATCATCTTGTTACTTGCTGATCCACCTGGTATCTGAGAAAATCAAAATGCACTTCATGTCAAGCTATGGGGGTGCATAATGTCACTCCAGGGGGACTGCCATATAAAATGGACGGGGGTGCTTGTCGGAAATTTTGAAAAGAACCCCTAAGAGGTACCAAGATCCTGTTTTGTGGGCATGGCTTGAAATGTTTGTCACCTCTAAAAGGTACCAATTCTACAACAACACTTTATCTCCTGTTATATTTTTTTGGCTAAATGCACTAGAAGACTCACTTAGATATAAGGGATCTGTCCTTTGGAACATAGTTTTATACCACGAACAACATAAAAGTTTTTCAAGCTTTTTCGACATTAGAAAGCAGGTTGTAAATAGAGCCTATTTTAAAGATTTTAACTT